TTTAGATCGATTAGAGTTTGCTTCTGGCTATTAAAAGGTGGTAAGGAGGCTATAGGAAGGACTTAAGGTCCTTTAAATAGGGTGCAAACCCTAAAAATTAGGGTTTCCATGCACAGCCTCTACTCATTGAGTTGGGGTCCACCAACTCGTCGAGTAGATGCCATAAACCAAGCGGGCTGACCAGATTCGACACGACGAGTTGGGGCCTCCAACTCGTTGAGTTCCCACAATAATATGAATGTAAAGCTTTAAAATTTATACCTGGGAGTCGGGATGTTACATGAGGCTTCTCAACTCGTCGAGTAGAATTCATATCCCATGCCCCAATCCATTTCTACTCGACGAGTTTGGGGCCTCCAACTCATCGAGTTTCTATACAAAAATGAATAAATTAAGAAAAAACATGATGCAAGATGTAGAATGGGCTTTAGTAGTATACAAAAATGTGTGGTTGCACTTATATATTTAGGATACGGTATAGCCTTTGATGCTTTAGACGATTACTTGAAAGTATGTGAGAGGCCCGCAATTGATTGTGTAGATTGTTTTTACGCATGTATGTATGAGGTTTATCACAAATAATATTTGCGTAAACCTACTCCACGTGATATTGAGAGATTCTATTTGGCTCATGAAGAGAGGCATGGATTTCCAGGAATGATTGGTAGCCTTGATTACACGCATGTCGGGTGGGAAATATGTCTAACTGCGTGGCGTGGTCAATATACTCGAGGTGATATAGGTCAACCAACTATAATACTAGAATTTGTTGCATCTCAAGATTTTTGGATATGAAATTCGTTCTTTGGAGTTGCAGGGTCTAACAACGAACGTAATGTTCTTAGCCAGTCCCCTATTTTCAACGATGGACCAAAAAAGCACTTGATATGTCGTTCATGGTGAACAGGCATTCGTACAAATATGGTTACTACCTTTGTGATGGGATGTACCCTAATTATTCTACATTTATAAAGGCATACCGAGTACCTCGAACTGAAAAGGAAAAGTTATTCACAAAAAGGCAAGAAGCGGCTAGAAAGGATATCGATAGGGCATTTAGAGTTCTCAAGCAGACATAACATGTAGTGAAATATGTTACACGGCTCTGGGATATGGATAGAATTAAACGAATGATAAGTGCATGTATTATAATGCATAATATGATTATTGAAAATGAAGATAGAGCGATTTGCAAGTATGATCTGAACGACGTAGTTATCCCAGATGAAGAGTTTGTACCGGGAATAACTGAATTTTTAGCATGAGTTGTTGACATTTATAACAATGAAACGTGTTTTTATCTTCGAAAAGATAGTGCGAAGCATATGTACCAACGAAACATGAACGAAGATTAGTATCTTTTTATGTTTTGAATTTTTATGTTTGTTTGTTTTTTTGTTCTCATTTTTTTTAACTAATGTAGTTTTTTAAGTTAATGTAATATTTTTTGATTGAATGAAAAGCTAGTTAAAAAAAAATTATGCTTTGATTATATTTTTGAATTAAAATAAATTTAAAATAAAAAGATGTGGAGTGGTGTTTAATGGTAGGTATACCATAGGTTTAGTTAAGGTTGTTAAAATCACGATCCTGATTGTAGGATCATACGATCCTACAGTCTCACCTAATCGATCCCGATCTTACTTGGATCGTTTTTTGGTAAGATCGCGGTAGTATCGTAGAATCGGATCGTAGAATCGATCGTAAGATTATAGAATCGTTAATATATTTTAAAAAAATCAAATATTTTTTTTTGGACTAACTATGTAGAATATTCTTTTTGAATTGTTTATCGTTAAATAATGTATCGGAAATGTATTTTTTATGTTTTAAATAATTTACTATTAACTAGATGGTTAATTGATGGATTAATATGTATTTTTTTTTTATATTTTAAAGTATTTTTGGTACGATCTTACGATCCGATTCGATCTTACGATCACGATCTTGCAAAACAGAAAACTATCATATATAAGATCCCAAACTTGAGTTTAATTGTTGATGTTTGTGATGATGCAGCACCCTATAATAATTATTAGATCCCAAACTTGAGTTTAATTGTTGATGTTTGTGATGATGCAGCACCCTATAATAATTATTGGTGTTCCTACTTAAACACTGTTTTCTCTACTCCATAATATATAAAAGTATATCGAAAGACCCATATGGGTGTGCTTGGTTAATCTATTTCCCTACTAGAATTCTTGGATTTTGTAAATCGTTTTTTGTATAGTTGTCGATTTTTGTTCGCTGCATTTTATATTTATGATTTTTTAACATCTCGATTTCGGATTTCCAACGTAAAGTACATACACAAAAATCATTTACCTAACTTCCAAGATTCCATATGGATTCATATGTCTCTAACCGGTTATGAGGGTATGTAGTTCCATTTCATGTCTTTACATGTTTTAGCTTTCTGCGGGGTAGACTGGATTCTCTCAACTTGTGTATGAAATAGTATTAATTTTTTTGGTATTTGGAAGGGGATTCCTTAGTCGTAGGTTGTTCTTTCCTCAAGGTATGGGTGAGCACGGTGCGGTTCGGTGCGGTTATTAGTCAAAACCTCACCACTAACCGCAAATGCGGTTAATCCATTTTCAAAACCGCTTGGTGCGGTTATTTTTGTGGTGCGGTTTTGTTTTTTCTGTGCTGCGGTTATTAACCGCATAGATTTGGTGTGGTTTTTAACCACAGTTTGGAGCTCAAACGGCTTTAACAGTTCAAACATATTACTTGTAATAATAAAAAAACCATAAGGTATAATACAATTAACTTAAATCACAAACAACTAATATTTTAAAAACGTCAAATCAATAGTAATTAACAATAAATATCTTAAAATTGTCTAATTTCACCGTTTTTCAAAGTTAAACATCACAAAAAACCAACACTTTTGTCTTCTAGTATTTTATCAATCTTTCATCCATGAAACTTGTTTTATTTTTAATACTTAATATATTAACAATTAATAAAAAAAAATTGTATATAATATATGCGGTGCGGTGCGGTTTTTTTTTTTGCGGTTTTTTTTTGCGGTTTTTTAAAAACTAATAACCGCACCGCACCGCAAATTTGCGGTTTTTGAAAAACAGAAAACTTCACCATCAGTTTTTATTGCGGTTGCGGTTAATCGGTTGCGGTTTATATAATTTTTGCGGTTAATTTTAGTTGCGGTGTGGTTTTTGCTCACCCCTGCCTCAAGTTACATGCTCAAATGAAAAAAAAAAAAAAAAAAGTTGGGGGATCTGATATTGGAGAAGTCTACTACTATACATCAACTTATTTGATGAATTGATAAAATATCCATTTAATGATAGATAATTCTAGAATAATAATTTTCGTTAAAGGAGGCCTTTGTTCACTTCTTTAATCTTATTCATGTTTGGAAGAAAAATGCCAACTTGGCAAAACAAGTCCTCCACAATTTTGCTATTATGACCTTCTGCCGCCTGTCATCTATGATTGCAAATTCATACTCCTAACCCACGGTTTGGCATTACCTTTCATTTTGGCCCATATATAACTTGATAAGTGTTTATTTATTCTAAAGTAAATAACAGTTTTGGTCCCTATGGTTTAGGTAGATTTGTACTTTTGGTCCAACCTTTGAAAAATAGACAAGACGCATCCTTGTGGTTTCCCAATCTTGCAATTTTGTTCCTTCATCCATAGACTATATTGCCCTTTTTAATTTCTTTTTCTATTTTCTTTTACTCTTTTTAAAAATATAAAATATATTTTGGGCCCACATCTCCTAAGTCCTAACCCTCCACATCGTCTCTCTCCCCTTCTTCCTTTTTCGTTCTTTTCTCACCCCGTTCAAGAGTGTTGCTATAGCCTACATTTTTTCATCCCATTTCTTCCTTCCTTCTTCTTCCCAAATCAACATAGAATCATAGCATTGGTAGATGTTTTGAGATCGACGGTGGTGGAGCAGATGAGGGTTTGGTTACTGTAGGAAGCAGCAGAGCCATCGAGATGAAGGAAAACGACGATGAAGAATAGGATGGCAATGATGGAGAAGATGGTTGATATAGTGTCGAGGATATGATAGTTTCGGAGTTTGGATAATATGAGTTTGATTCGATGAGCCATTTGTCATAATAGGTATGTTATTAAGGTTAGAAATAGAAATTTGCGATAGAGATGAGATATCCATAGGTCGTTGGAGGAAGAGAGGTTGAGACACTGAAGGGGGAGACAGAGGATCTATGAGATCTAAAGGTGATTAATCGAAGGGAGCAGGAGGATATGTTAGATATGTAGGTGACGAATCAAAGGCAAACGGATGGTGATGGGTGGTTTCAAAAGGAGATAAGGAAAGGAGTTGATGGGAAGGGAGGTACTTACTAGCAAGAAATCATGTGTGCCTTGTCTTCTTGTGTTTGGTCATCAATCAACACCACCACAAGAAAATCGAAACACATCTATGACAAAAACTGCAAGATTGGGAAACCACATAGATGCATCGTCTATTTTCCAAAGGTTGGAAAAAAAATACAAATCTATCTAAACCACAGAGACCAAAACAGTAATTTACTCTTTATTATATGTTCTATTTTGACCTTCGTCCCCTTGAACAACTTCGGAATCTTTTTCGTTCTCCTAGTTTTTCTTGGCAAACATTCAAAAAAAAAAAACATTTGAAGCACGCTTTAGTGAAGCACATCTACTTTGGTAAACGATTACAACTATTCCTCATTTACTATGTTTCATACCTAAGATAAAGTATTCCTGTGTTCGTAACATGTTATAATCATCATGTTAGACTTCTAGCATTAGAATCTAGCTTCAACACAAAACCCAAAGCATGGCTATCAAATGATAATGAACTTGATTTGACACCGCAACATGAGGAAGATAAATCACAATATCATATCGATATCGAATACAGATTCTTATCTCCTTACTGAAAACCTAACAAACTTTAAAAAAAAAAAAAAAACTCTAAAAGTAACATATATATATACTATAGTGATATGAGATAACTTTTCCGATCACGTCAAGCGGTAGCCACCGTGATGTGGTGGTGGAGTGGTTGCACCACCTTTTACCGCCCGTTTATTTCTACCCTCCGGTTGAACCTCGGCGGTGAGGGATTTCATTTGTTTTTGAAGATCGGAGACCGAATCCATCTTCCCCTTTGTTCCTTTTTTCCCATGAACGAGTTTAAGTTCGAGTCTATAAAGGGCAAAAGCGTCACATTTGGTGATTTGGTATTCGAAAAGATGCCATTCGAGGGATTTCATGGGTTGTGGGTCCATGTAATATGACCTTTTTAGCCATCCGGAATCATTGATTACTTGTTTTTCGTGATTCGTGCCAACCGCGTCCGTTGTAATCGGGGAGTGATCGTTGTTTTCGGTTTCCGCTCTCGAAAGCCCGCCGTGGCTTATCGAAAAATAGCCACTCGCGGACTGTTTCGCCCTCGAAAACCGCAATGTCGAAGAGCTCTGAGAAAGGGTCAAAAAAGGAATTAATGAATATAGAAGAGCTATTATCAGTAAACAAGTGTAAGTATGTTGCCAATATGGGTAAAAGATAACTTTTATACCCTTTTTATTATCTTTTATCTTTTTTTTAATTTAATTACAATTTATATTACCCTTAGAGTATATTACATAAATGGTCCCTGTGGTTTGATCAGAATCGCAGGTTTGGTCCAACTTTTGAATAGTTGATAGGTTGCATCTCTCTGGTTTCAAACAATTACACTTTTTGTCCCTTTTGGTGGTTTTTTATTATTTTAACGCAAAAGAAAACAACATATAAAAGTAAATGGTGAAAGATTGTGGTGGTGCACAGTAGTTTTGTGTGGTGGTGGTGGTGGTGGTGGGTGCCCTTTACTGTAAATAACAAAATAGACAAATAGACCAAAAAATAGGGTAAATTGGTCATTTTACACTGATTTAACGGTAGGTCATGGACATTGTTAGCCAAAAGGGACCAACAGTGTAATTGTTTGAAACCACAGGGACACAACTTATAAACTTTTGAAAGGTTGGACCAAACCTTCGATCTTGAACAGACCACAGGGACTATTTCTGTAATTTACTCTTACCCTTATCATTATTAAATATATCCAGTTATCCACTCCACCCTTTTTCTCTCCCTTCGTCCATCCTCCACCATCATGTGTAAAATAAATTAAAAAGGGTATAAATGCCATTTTACATGAGTCAAGGACCATTTACGTAAGAAATTGAAACCACAGGACCATTTGTGTCAAAAAAAAGTTAGGGACCGAACATCTGAATTTTTATAAACAGGGATCAATCGTGAAACTTTGTCTAGTTTTTTATAGAGTAAATTACACGAATGATCCCTATGGTTTGGGGTAATTTGTGCGTTTGGTCCCTAACTTATTTTTTTAACTCGGAAGGTCCCTACTGTTTGTTTTTGTTACGCGCGTGGTCCCCGTCTTACATAAAAATATTATTTTGCCCTTGATTTTTTAATATATTTAAATAAACACACCCTCAACCCACCCCCTTCACCTTACCTTACCTACCCCATCATTTTTCCCTATTTAAATAATAGTCTTTTTAGGTAAGACAAGGACCAAACACGTAACAAAAATAAACAGTATGGACCAAGCACGTAACAGAAACAAATAGTAAGGACCTCCCGAGTTAAAAAAATAAGTTAAGGACCAAACGCACAAATTGCCCCAAACCAAATGGGACCATTCGTGTAATTTACTCTTTTTTATAATTGTTTCCAATAGACAATTATAAAATTCAAACAAACGAACAATAAATAAACAGTAAATTACAGTTTTAGTCCTTGTGGTTTGGTCAGATTCGCACTTTTAGTCCAACTTTTGAAAACTTAACAAGATGCATCCATGTGGTTTAAAAAATTTACACTGCACGTCCCTGGTCCATTTAAAAAGACCATTTTACCCTTTCTTATATCTTTTTATTTTTCTATTACACATTTCTAATTTCTTTTATATATATGAATATATATAAAAGAAAATAGAAATGTGTAATAGAAAAACAAAACGATAAAAGAAAAGGTAAAATAGTCTTTTTAAATGGACCAAGGACGTGTACAATGTAAATTTTTTGTATATATAAAAGAAATTAGAAATGTGTAATGGAAAAACAAAACGATAAAAGAAAGGGTAAAATGGTCTTTTTAAATGGACGAGGGACGTACAATGTAATTTTTTTAAAACCACAGGGATGCATCCTGTTAAATTTTCAAAAGTTGGACTAATAGTGCGAATCTTACCAGACCACAAGGACCAAAACTGTAACTTACTCATAAATAGAAAATAAAAAATAAAAAGGATAGTAAACTAACCAGGAGCATTCCACGGGGATTTAGCAGTAGCTGCCCCTTCACATTCGGGCACACCAACATTCTTTCCCTGTGACTTGGCAGTCAGGGCAGCAAAAAGCAAATTATCCTTCAACTCAATCCCTTTCGGTCGAATGACCGGTTTCATTCCCGGGCAGCCTTCCGTCTGAGCAACTGCAGCATGCAAGCTGCTGCAATAGTCTGGGCACCACCCCTGGGCAGGCCTCGGGCAGTCCCAAAGGGAACATTTTGGTCCTAGGAAAGCCGAAGATGGAGGGCAGATATTCGGTAGAAAGCTCATCATTGGAAGTAGGTCATCATCTTGCTCCTGGATAATATTATTATCATCAAATGAAAAATAATCCAATTCCCTTTCAAGTTCAATCCCTGAAGGAGACCCTTTGCTTTGACCCGTTGACTTTGACTCTTGTTCTTTCTGAAAGAAAGACACATTGCAGCGTCAGACAGATGAGGAGGGCATTTACGTCTTTTTCATAAAGGGATCAAGTAATTACAGTTTTATTTTATTTTAGGGTTAATGATGTTTTAGTGGAAAGTAACTTTCATAGAATTTCAATTTAGTCCCTCACAAAATCAAATTGCTCCTAGATAATATTAGGATCTTGAGAAAAATCAAATGAAAAATAATCCAATTCGGTTGACCCGTCGACTTTGACTTTTTGTTCTTTCTGAAGAAAAAAAAGACACATTGCAGAGTCAGATAGATGAGGAGGGCATTTACGTCTTTTGCAGAAAGAAGAGATCAAATGTGAGTATATGTGTCACATTGCAGACAGATGAGGAGGGCATTTTCGTCTTTTGCACAAAGAATATTGCAAACAGATGAAGAGGGCATTTACGTCTTTTGCATAAAGAAACATTGCAAACAAATGAGGAGGGCATTTACATCTTTTTCTCAAAAAAAAGATCAAAAGCGAGTCTGTGTATCATATTGCAGACAGATGAGGAGGGCATTTACGTCTTTTGCACAAAGACACATTGCAGACAAACAAGGAGGGCATTTACGTCTTTTGCACAAAGAATATTGCAAACAGATGAAGAGGGCATTTACGTCTTTTGCACAAAGATACATTGCAGACAGACGAGGAGGGCATTTATGTCTTTTTCACAAAAAAGAGATTAAAAGCGAGTCCGTGTATGAGACAGATGAGGAGGGCTTTTATGTCTTTTGCACAAAGACACATTGCAGACATGAGGAGGGCATTTACGTCTTTTACACAAAAAAGGGATCAACAGCGAGTCCGTGTATGCAACTTTATTGACATGCATAAAGACTATTGAATCCATTTTGCTGACAAGGATTTCTATTATTATTTTTATGTTATTTTGGGGTTAATGATGTTTTAATGGCAACTAACTTTCATAAAGTTCAAGTTTAGTCCCTCACAAAATGGTTTTCATCAGAAAGTCACTCGAAATGTGGTTTTCGGATCGAATTGTATCAAAAGAAATAGTTTCCATAAAATAAACATTTTCATCAGAAAGTCAATCGAAGTGTGGTTTTCACAAAATGGTTTTCATCATATATGACCTTGTATTATTAGCTACATGTCAGTATAACCACAAACAAACCTAAACTTAATCACAACAAAAAAAGGGAAAAACAAAAACTCACCTTGTGAAAAGCAGCATTTTCACCAGTTTCAAGGGCATCAGGGTCAGGTTTTGGGGCAGCTAGCCCACTAGTTGCATCATCTTCCTCCTCACAAAGTTGTAACAGTTTACTTATGTCTGGGGAAGAAAGCCCAAAACTTGCACCCTGCATGAAAATATTGTAATTAGGGTTCAAATTCTTGTATATTTGTATATATGCAAGACCACACATGACATTGTTACAACTCACATGATTCCAAAAACAGAATCCAAAATGACTCCATTTGGTTTACAAAAAAGATGAACAAGTGATATTCTTAATATAGACTATATCAAGTCAATCTCAAGCCATACATTTTAAAAAATATAAACTCCAAAAATTGAAGGATTCTAGGACAATTTGGCATTACCAAAAGGGGATTTTTAATGACTAACTAGATCAATTTTAACAATAAGTTATACCTGTTGTAAAGAAGACGCAGGTGAAGGTTCATTGAGTTCATTCTTCCATTCTTTAAGCATTTGGTTGACTTGTTCTTCAAGGACTGCCACGTCAATACCACGACTCTCTTTTCTTGCGGATTGAAGATCTGTAAACATGCCATGGAGGTCCTCTACACGGTTTTTGGCCCTGTCTTTGAGTATCTGGTGAGAGCCAGACTTGCCTTTTGTTCCTTTCCCCATCAAAGAATAATAGAGCCTAATCTTTTCCCTTTCGCTCGGGAACTACCTGTCAAAATCCAAGGCCAACAATTGATTTCGTTTCATGAAGAACTTACAGAATCATAGTGAACCATTCGATGGAAATCTAAACGAAGAGACCACGTACGACCGATTTAAACCACAGAAAATGAAGTAAAGTGAATGGGAAAAGCATAATCAGAAACCCTAGATGCATAGAAGTACAGAAAATCGATCAATGCCCGCAAATTTGTTAAGAGACGCATCGAAGACGAGATCATTACATAAAAATTACAGAAAAGAAAGGGGTACTTGATCGGGAATTACCTGTTTCTGATAATGATCGGATGAATGAATGATAGAAAGTTAGCTAGGGTTTGGATTCTCTCTTCGAATCTGCTACACTTTTTGTACTGCTGTTCGGTGGAATGGAGCGCAGCAAATTCGTTTTCTATGCGAAGACTGAAGAGGCAAACAACATGCCTTAACTCCGCTTGGTCAGGGTACGCGGCAAAAATAAATAAATAAATAAATAACACTATTTTCTTAATGTTCTTAATTAAAACTTTAAGGATTTATGTTATTTATTAGATTAAAAGGTTGCACGGAGTCAAGTCGCCAAACAAGTTCACTAATGATTAGTTACTAAGTTTAAAAATAAATAAATAAATAAATAAAAAATGAAAGGAAAGGAAAACACAATTTCTTTTGTGTTCCCGAGAGAAGTGGAATGAAAATTAATTATTTTTTTTTTCTTTCCAAATCATACTAAATCGGAAGGAAAGTTAGAAGGGAAAATGATTCTTCCATTTTCTTTCTTTAATGAAATTCGAGAACACCAATTTCTTTTATTTTCTTCTCATTTCCACTCATTTCATTTCTTTTCTCTCGTTAAGTTAAACTCAAGAACGAGGTCTAAGGTTCGCCAAGGAATTAGAGCGTTAGGGGGCTTGCTATACTCGGGTCGCTATGGTATGGCGAGATTAGAGAGAAAGAATTGCTTGAAGTTGATTGGTTGCAAGAAATTTGACCAGATTCACCATTTTCCAAACAAAATTTCACGTTTTTTTATTAAAAAAAACATTTTTTTACCTAATTTCAAATTTTCATTTAACATCTTGATGTTGAGATATTCCATTTTTAACCCTTTGAATGAGAGTTAATTGCATTTTAGTCCTTGTGTGAGAGAATGGTTGCAAAATGACCCATAGTGGTATTTTTGTAATTTTTGGCGGAGCACACGTATGATAGGCGTACACTTCGTATGTTAGGCGTACATGCCAATTCCTCAAACCCTAATATTTAGGGTTTGGACCATATTTAAGCATCATTATATCCTAAGTCATTTTCCTTTCATCAGCCTCCAGTCCCAACTTCGACCTTTGCAAACCCTAATTCGTATTTGAGCTATATTAAGCCATTTATGGGTGTTATGGTGCTTTTAAAAGAAGAAGAAGGAAAAAGAGAACAACCTAGAAGCTTGGAACAACCTTGGATCTGGAAGTTTTGCATCCTCCTACATCTCTAGAAGGTATAAAGTTCATACCTCGATGATTATTTGGTTAGATCTAGCTTGTATGATGTTATTATGTACTTTTGTCCCCAACCAAGGATGTTCTTGAGTATGACATGCTCTAGACCCAAACGGATTGTCCTTCCAGATGTTTTGGAGTGTCTAAGGTCATAAAAATGCAATCTTGATTGTTAGTTTTCTTCCATGCATGGGTTATATTATCTTAATGGGTTAAGAAGTTAGGGTTTTTGCTTTTGGGCACTTGCTAGCCATGCAAAACCATAAAGTTGGAAACTTTATGGTTTAGGACGTTATTTGAGGGTTGGATCTGGAATTTAGGCAAAAGAGCTTAAGGATTAAGCTCTTAATAAGAAGGAGAATGGGCCAACTACGTACGTTGGACGTACCAGGTAGTACGTTGCGTGTACGCAGTCAACTTCACGTTTTAGTCAATGCATGAGTACGCCCTGCGTGCAGGCTAAGTAAGCCCAACGTACTCAGTTGTATTGACCAAGTTTGACTTTTTGACTTTTTTACGTTGACCAAGATTGACCTAAGGGTATTTTGGGTATTTTGAGTTGTATTTGAGATTGCCCATTATTTGATGAATATGTGACGGGTAGAGCCGATATTCGGAGTAAAGATTTATTCAGCTATTGTTCGGATTGAGAGGTGAGTATTTCCTCATTGTACTCGTGGGTCGAAGGCACCAATACCGGCCTACTTAATCATGTATCCTGGTTAGAGGATGTTGCTATGATGTATTGAAATGCAAGAATTGAGTCATGCTATATAGGATATTGATATGCGGTAGTGATCTGTAGATCTGCTTGTTTTCATGTTAACTGGTTATATGTTATCTGTTATGTATATGTCGACATGTTATGGTTTGGGGTTGAGGCTTTACTGCTTTGTGTGTGAGCCAATAAACCTAGACTATTCCAGTCTGATGAATAAGTGGACCCGAGGGTATTCTAGTCTGATGACTGAGCGGACCCGTGTATATTGGCATTCCAGTCTGATGACTGATTGGGCTGGGGGTATTCCGGTCTGATGACTGATTGGACCCAGTATGCAATGTTGTATATGTTATGTTATGTAGTCGTACTTTGGGGAAACTCACTAAGCTTTGGCTTACAGTTTCAGTTTATTGTTTTAGGTACTTTAGATGACCGTGGCAAGGTGAAGGCGTGATCACACACATCTTTCAAAGATATATTTTGGGAGAATTTATGATGTTCTAATCTTGGAGAATATTTGTATTTGACATTTGACTTGATATGGTATGGGATTAAAAACAATGGTTTCTTTTAGTTTAAAAATGAAAATTTTATTGTGTTTTGGGATGTTACAAGTTGGTATCAGAGGCGCCCCTGGTTTGAGAGAATTGGATGAACATTCGTGTGAATCCAGACTCAAACTAAGGAACTGAAAAAGGTTTTCAAATGGATTTCAAAAATAACCAAAGAGGGATGCGATGTGTACGATCATTCGGAGCAAGAAGTATACCCCAAGTTACCACACTGTTATTTGTTATTGATGATTATGATAGGACTGCATGCTAGTGATATGCTAGGAATCTTTAGGAATTGCATGATAGAATTGCTTGATATATGATGCCCGATAGCCTAGGAGGACTTCTTGTATGTTAGATAAATTGACATCATTACTGTAGTTTCTTAGTGTGTGCATCATAGTTGTATATAACTAAGATCTTGTAGCATGAGAATGTTTGATTTAGCCTTATTTCATGTTCTTGTATGATGAAGGGCTTAGGGTAGGGTCAAGTATTCGACTGTCTATATGATCCAACGTTATGTATGATAAGCATGCATGAGTGGGTACAGGGTTGGTGGAAGTTTCGTGAGTGAGTATGTGTAGGTAGCATGCTTGTTAAGGAATGATTAACTACTCTTGAGATAGCGAGGATATAATGTATGCGTATCCTAGTTGTGAATTTGTAATTAGGTAGTTTGTGATGATGCTTGAAACAAATACGGGTAGGTGTGGAAAGTAGTATGGGCCCATAGTACTGGAAGCATAGGACCCGTACTCGTAACAAAGGATTCACAAACCTCGAGGGTTTAGTCTCTCTATGATGATTATGTAGTATCAATGGTGGCATTTTCTGATGTATCTATTAGTTCTTTTTTAGTATGGTCCTCATGAGAGGATCTAGATCCGGATCTGGAGCGAGTGGCCATGATAAGTCATGGTTGACTAAGGATCAGATTCGTGAGATGATTGTTGTTGAGGTGGCTACTACGATCCGGAGTTCTATCCTGGAGCTTTTTGAGTCTATCAAGACCACCATGATTGAGTTATTCGATGAGTGTTATGTTGCATTGACTGAGGCTGCTTCTGCTGCAGCCACCGCGGTTGTTATGGCCGCAAGGGTTCAAGGGGAGAGAGCTTTCCAGTACCGGGACTTGGACAATTCGAATCCCTCGGAGTTCGATGGGGTCAGGGACCCGATTATGGTGATGAGATGGTTGTCTAATTGTGGAGGTATGTTTCTTCACATGCTCTTGCCCTGCTGACTAGAAGGTCAAGTACGCCCTGAACTTTCTCAGGTTGGGGGCGAAGGATTGGTGGAGATTGGTAACTGGTGCTTACACTCCTGAGTAGATAGTTACTGTTACTTACTTACTTGGGAGCAGTTCTCGGAGATGTTTCATGCGATATACGTTCCCTTGGTAGAGAGGGATAGATTGGCTCAGAAGTACTTGGATTTGAGACACACTATAGAGACGGTGACGGAGATCACCAAGATGTTTATGAGAGGGATCTTTTATGCCCTGAGTTTGATGCTTCGGAGCATGCTCAGATGACCCGGTACTTGAGCATGCTAAAGACGAATATTTGGTAGTTCATGTCCACCTAGCGTTATGTTACCCTCGCTGACCTTCGGGATGTCGCGAGGAGGCGGGAGATTGAGATAGAGATTCGGATGAGGGAGTTAAGCAGGCTCCTATTCAGTCACTGCCTGCGGCGAAGCGGTTCAAGCCTGCTGATTCGAGACCTGAGGGACAGAGGGGCCGCACTTGTGGAAAGTGAGGCAAGGTTCATAAGGGTGCTTGCCGATCATCATTTGGATGCCACAAATGTGGTAGGGAGGGCCACATTGCAAGGGATTGTCGTCAGCAGGGTCCGTCATCGAGCACCAAGATTTGTTATCATTGTGAGAAGGTTGTCCATATGAGGGCCAACTGTTCATTGCTTGCGGCTAAACTGGCACAGGCTCCAGCACCAGTTACATTAAGGATCACCGATGGGCGGAGCCCCCGAGGGCTCGATGTCGTGCTTTCCATCTCACTGCAGAGGAGGCGAGGGCGGTGCCGAACGTCGTTACTGTATGTTTATATATATATATATATATATATATATATATATATATATATATATATATATATATATATATATATATATATATATATATATATATATATATAAGACAAGTCAGTCAAACCGCTAGTACGCCTCATTCACGAATTCGATCTATAAGGGGGTATAAGGAAACTACCTATAAAATGGTAATTGAAAGAGTGACCACTCTCACCCACCGCTTCGTTGATTGGTGGAGGATCGTTAGTCGAACGGGTTTAATAGGACACTTAATTCTCATTAATAAGTATAATGAGATTAATAAAGTAACTAATTGTTTTTTCATAAATTCCCAATCTTAGTTACTTTAGGAAAAATGTGAAATTGATGTTATTCCATGAAATTACACATTGCACTTTATACAAGTCGTTAGTGGAGCGTGCGTGGTTAACCGACACACTAATATGGACCGATAAAGGGTGGCAATGGGTGTCTCGTAAATTATCATAGATTGATGGAGCGTGTGCGGCTAACCGACATATTGATTAGATGATAAATGACATCAAGAGTACCAAGCTAATTTGCATGGTTATTCATGTCTTGCTTGTGATTCTCGGTATCCCGGTCACAAATGGAAGAACATAATCGAGATTAAACATGTCATTGAATAGTTCAATGAATCTCAAAAGATCTAGGAATTTCATTTAAAACCTAATTCGTTTAAAATTTCTTTTTCATGGTGAAATTGGTAAATCGTCATTTACATACCTTCATATTTATTTCACAAATAGATTACGACATCCCTTTTCTATGTTGTGAAAATATCTAGTTGATCCTAGCCTTAATATTTCATTTGGGTGTTATATTGAGGAATCTTTTTATCTAACTAAAACTTGTCCTTCTTCTTTTTTCAAATGTCAACTCCCAATGATGCTTCTAGTTCCTCCTCCAACCACAACTCCTCCAATAACTTCTCACTCTTGAACATCTGCTTGAGGGTTACCTTTGATGGCACCAATTAGAATGATTGGATGCGAAACATCAAGATGGCCCTATGCTTCGAGGACAACGAGTATGTACTTGAAAAGGAACTCCTTGAGATTGATGAAACTAAAGCTACTCTTGAAGAACAAGCTGAGTATAGGAGACACTACAATGATGTTACCAAAATGGCATGCATCATGGTGGATACTATGACTCCTGAGCTTCAAATGTTCTATGAGGATTACTGGTCATACGAGATGAACAAGGACTTGGTGGAAAAGTACCACCAACGAGCCCGTCAGGAAAAGTATGAAGTA